TAATTCATTTACAAAGCACTGCCCTGGTTAAGTCTGCTCCCTCATTCTGTGGCTATGGAGATGGAAGACCACGCTTATCTTGTTGGTGCAGATCACTTTTATTTGTAGGTGCCGACGAGTGAGCTAACTTACTGTTTCTGTATGCAGAGAAAATATAGATGATCTTAGTCTTTGGCCCCTTTCTTCCATCATTGTTCAAATATGGCCCCTACCCCCAAAGACTGCGGCAGTACACTCCTGAGGAACTCAAGACCCAGGCAGAACTTACTTTAATGAATAAAACTCTTCTAGCAGAAAAGGTTACTTTTGAGAAATCTTGCTAATACGAAATTTCTTTTCCTGCAGTTGCTAATCATCCAGGAACTTCGTTCACAATACTGCCCTTTTTTCTGTGAACACTTTAAAAAGTGATTTTTCCCCTAAAAGTATGAAATTTATTTTAAAAAGCTAAATGCATGGAATTTACTGGAAGAGCTGAGATGATGACCTCACTTGGCCTTCAGAAAGGATTACCTGTGACTGTTCCACTTACTGGGGAGGTTTATCTCCTATCTATAAAATTTCAGGAGTTATTCTATATACTTCAAAATTTCTTTCATACAGGTGTCCACCATAGGGAGTTCTTTGTAATTAAAAAGAGTCGTAAGGCAATTAAACTTAAAGAGTAAAGTTAGAACTTTTCCACAGTACAAAAATTCACATTGGAAAGCTCAGGGGACTGGAATTTTACAGGATTACATTACAGAGTAAGTTGCTTTAAATCCTTTGTGAACCAAAGGGAGCTTGAAAAAAAATGCAGAATTTTGATTGATAATCTAGCCAAGTTTTCCTACAATGAATAGCCTAATAAGAGAGCCATGAAAATTTCAGCAGTATCTTCCTCAAGTTTCCCCTTTGCACGATTTTCACAGGAATACATTTTGATGTGTAGCTGTCTATACCCATGTTTGAATAACGAAATTGTTTCTGATGCAGGCATTCCAGGGGTCCAGGTATCTGAAGGTCCTTGACCCACTGTGGGTTCTTGGCTTCATGCAGGAAAGAATTCAAAATTGAACCAGCATAGAATTTAAAATGAAAGGGAGTTTATTAGTGAAGAAGTAAGACAGAGAGTGTACTCCACAGACAGAGCAGCCCCTCCCTAGTGAAATGTACTTGTTTTATTGAGGCTCATTTAATCAAGGGGCAGGGCACTCAATAAATACGGAATAGTTAGTGTTTTTCCAGGTGGAGGGGTAGAGACTTCTCAGAAGAGCTCTGTTGGCCATGTTGTGTCCTTATATAGCCTATAATGAAGCTAAGAGTTACTGCAAGGTGAAATTAGTTGCCATATTGGATTGAGCTGGTCTCCTGCCTCTCCTAAGCCATATATCTATTGGGGGTTGGTCTTACCATCTCCGTGGCAGTCTTTGTAGCCCTTATTGGTCACAGCCATTCCACCACATACCCTAGCTCATTCTTTTCCTAGACATTTTAATACAGTGAAGCTTTTCATTTTTGGAGGTTGACCTGAGACATATATATTTATGTCTGTTTTGAATGCTAGTGCCATCTCTGTGAATTTTATTTAGATAGGGTGAAATCATATACTTAAAATGAAAACCCCTAATTCATTGCTTTCTGTCAACAGTTAATTTTATTTGCTGCCTTGCTTGTTTTATGTCCCAATATGAATCAGCACAAATGAATAAGATGCTCTGTTAAAATACAATATAAGCTTTTGTTGACTTCTCTACTAAGGATCTAATAAGGAGTGAGTTGGAGGCCCTTGGATTTGAAGACAAATATTTTAGTGAATTTTTGCATCAAGTATTCATTGCAATGATATCTAAAAAATATGTAGTTTGACCACGGAAGTATTTGCTTTCTTAACTCATTCTAAGATATGAAGAGAAAAGTTTAATATTCAGTTACTTATCTGATGAATGTGTTCCACTGACTTCATGGTTAGGGGCAAGCTTCTGTTATAACAGTCCAATTCCATGCAATAAAATGTATAAATTAATATCATACATTTTATTCCTTTTTGTCTTTCTTTTAAGGCATCTATTTGCTATGAAGATGTTAGAGCACTTTAATCGTAAATGGAGAGAATCATATTTTTCTAGTACTTAGGAGAGAGAAATGTTGGAATGTCTTTAATTGGAAGTTACAAGGAAAGGTTAAGAATTATTTACATTGTAATAGGAAAAGAAAGGGATATGGTGACATAATAAGCATGTCAAGTACATAGGAAATTGTCACAGAGAAGCTGTACATCAAGGACATGTTAATTTCCAGCAATAATGAACCATGAGAAAATGCAGATTAAGTCAAGCCTGATGGATTTAAGCAAGCTACACAAAAAGATGTCCAGATCTTGGAGAGCTTAAGTTCTAGAATGTGATAGCCAGGGAAAGATACTCATGCTTTCACAGTGCAGGGGCTGCTAGGAAGAGATAGATCAGATGAGGAATGAGCAAACACTTCAACCCACTAAATTAGTCCAATAAATCTACAAACATTCAAGCATTTTTAAAAGTTCATGACATACATTATGTCATCTAACCCTCACAAACTGTGCTATTTGAAACTGTATTTTGTCCATAAAGAATAGGAGTCTCTGAGTTGTTAGTGACTTGCTCTAGGGTGCCAAGTCAGCAAATGGCAGAGCCCAGATCTGAACTGGGTCTTTCAATCATTCTGCATGGTATACAGAAATGCCTACATATGAAGTTCCATTCTCTAAATTATAATCCTAGGTATATAAAATAATATATTCAGACAACTACAACTAGCTCGTCTCTTATTTTTCATCAATTCTGGAATATATTTTTGTTATCTTCTCAAAACATCCTTTTTTATTCAAACTGGTCCCTCAAACTCAAGGCCAACTAGACAGACCATAAAATAATGCCTCTAAACAGATTTACACCACTAGAGATTATACAGACTAGCCAGTAATCATGCAATGTCACATGTTTTTGTGTTTATGTTTTGTATATTAGGTAACATCTTACCTCAATACTTTCTTAAATCATTTAATAATAATAATATAATAATAATAATAAAATAATAATAATAATTACTCTATTTAACCAAAAAGAAGAGAGTCAAGGGCTTCCTTTAAATATATATATTGCCCTACCTGGTTTGGCTCAGTGGATAGAGCGTCGGCCTGCGGACTGAAGGGTCCCGGGTTCGATTCCGGTCAAGGGCATGTACCTTGGTTGTGGG